GTAAGCAATCAATTTTTCCAAGGGGCCATGGGAAACTGGGACCAGTGCAGTTCTCCACAACACCCCTAGTTTCTCATGTGGCCCCTTGGGAAAATGAATTGCTCTCCCCTTTTATAAAACCTAGTTTATGTTGGCCATTCTCATGCTTGTGAAGGATGAGCACTCCAAAATCAAAGATTGACATCTGTCATTCAGAAACAGACCGCATATGTCACATACAGCCAATATTGTGACCATTAAATACTGACCGAGCAGCCTCAGTATTAAACAGGTGGCTGTCAAGTTGCACAGACTGTTTTTTGCCATAAATATTGTATTTTTATGTATGTTTTCCTTGCAAAATATAAAGAAATGAAGAAAAAAATTAAGGCTTTTGCACAGTACTATATGTATTTAGCTTATTGTTACCACATGCTCATTGTCTCTTGTGTCTGTTTTTTCCTCTAAACGGAAAAGCACAGTATGATTTTGTTTACAAATTAATGAAAATCTTTCATTACCATTAGTAGCACGTCCTTATTTGACTGGTTGTGTAGGAGGTGCAGTTATTTTTCCACCAATTTGCAGGAGTGTCAATATCAACTACTTGTCATTATTCTCAGTCAACAAAATGATTCAGACTTTTACACCGCTGCTGCATAGGAAATAACTGTAGTAAAATTTCGTTTGGTTGGTTGTTTGGCAGCTTGTCAGAGTTCCTGGCCAAATCAGAAGAGTATGTGTACAAACTGGCAGACAACCTCCTGGATGCAGTGACAAACGGAGAGCATTCAAGAATCCTGAAGAACACCGAGCAAGTAAGCTTTTTCTCTGACGTCATTTGTTGTTTTTTATTTCAGGACAGGAAAGTCTTCCAGTTGACTAAATAAATGTTTTTGTTTTGCTTTGGGGGGGGGTTTTGTCATTTTTTCCTCCAGCAAGTAGAGCAGCTGTCAAATATACAAGAGGACAAGGATACCGTGGAGGTGAGAGAATCTGGAGCTGAAACCCTGATCAAAAAATGTGTAGCATGTAATAGAAATGTGCGTGAGGTGAGTCGAGTGATGATTGCCAGCGTTCGCTATGTAATACAAAACCGGAGCCACTCATCCTCATCAGCACTGCTTTTGAAGCTGCTGCTGTTCAGTGCAAAGCATATCACGTGCTCCTGCATTATACCCCATGGATTTAATTTGTGTTCTAGATGGCCTCAGCTGATGACTGCTGCATCCACCAGCTGTGTCAACATAGCAGGGGCCTGGCGTAAGGATGGAAAGAACATTTCCTTTTAAAACACAGCAGTGCTACATGCTCAAGGCCCGCTGTTGGAGAATTTTGAGAGGACTGTTTTCCTCTACTGCCCACTGACTGTGAAGCTGAATCGCTCCTCAGAGCAGTAGAGGAAACCAGAGCAGGGGCCCACCGTCAGACAAACAGCGGCCCTCTGTGCTAGCTTCTTGCTGTTTTTGGCTGCCCTCCAGTTTACTCTCATCCCCTGCTCGGGTGTTGCAGCTTTTGATTAGGCCTGATTTTATTGTAGTGAAGAAGTAGCATGACAAAAGAAGCTTCAAAAGATTGTGATGTTCCCTTTTATGTCCAGTGTGGAATGCATTTTTCTAATCTAACTAACCATGTTGTTTCCCCTCTGTCTTTGGTAGGTAGCTGACCCCCAAACATCTGACAGACTGGATTTCCTGCGCTCTGCTGCAGGCCTGCATATGACTGAGGAGCTTTCTGAGGGTAAAATGACTTTTTTTTTTTTTCCTGTATTTAAAGTTGCAGCTAATTACACTTTTAGGAATGATCAGAACATCTTGAAGTCTTTAAAAATGTTTAATTTGGTTCCTTTAGAAAGCACTATAAACACATCATGAATACTTTTCATCTTTCCATGATGAAAACAAGCTAATCAAGATAAAATGCTTATTGTGCCGAATTCTGTTTCGCAATCATGCTCTTATTTTGTCATTCAGGCACCTCCACTTTACTTTTTTTTTTTCCACCCAAAAGCCCAAATTACATTGATGGGCACATTTAGTTCATCTTTTGTCACTACCCGGTCCTCAGCCCTGGATCTGTGTTAATTACATGATCAAAAACTTGTGACCTTAGTAATTGTGATGAAATTTTTTGCCAAAATCAAGCACCTAGTCTTCTACATCTACATACAGATGTAGATCTACATCCACAGGAAACTTTCAGTCACTACAGCCGTGACTCTAACAATTCAAAACAAGTGGTTCAGTTCATACCTGGGTTTTGGTTTGGGTTGTTGTATTTTGGGGAGTTGTTTTTTTGTTTGTTTGGGGTTTTTTAGGGAAATGAGCAGTAGGGAAAACAGCCCTTTTTTTGTTTTTTACCACAGGGAACGTCACTTAATCATAAACATGATCATCAAAATACTGAAATTTACCTGGAGAAAAAAAACATCTTTAAATATCACAGCACTCACCAGACTACCAGGATCTAGCTGAGCATTAACATCCTAAAATGGATATTGTGATAGAGCATGATGGAATTATGATACAATTTGCAGACCTTCAGTTCTCGTGTCATAATTCTTACAGTCCCAATTTTTTGCAGGATCTTTATCTTTACGATCAAAAGTACCTTTGGATGAATGCTGTTGCTATTTAAATAAAACTGAGATGACAAAGCCAACATGGGAATGTATCTTTTCAATTATTCTGCATGAATGCACTGTTATTGTCCCCACTGGCTTCCCATCATTCTTTGATGGTATGACAATCAAAAAGGGATTTATTTTCCTTCTTAGTGGTATTAATTTTTAACTCAGCAGAAATATTTTAATGCCTTTTCTTGATTGCAGGAAATAAGAAGAGTTGTGGCACTACATGCAGTTTAAGGACCTGCCTCATGCTGATGAGAAGAGAAATGAGAATCAGAAAAATACAAGTTCACATAGTATTGGGGATATGACGAAAAATCTGTCATGGTACTTTTTAAAATTCATGGCCATTATTTATTATAATATTTGTTCTCCCTATGTATATACATAAGTGTACCGTGGCTCATTGTTCTGTCAAGATAGTATATAATGTAAACATTTTAATGTTTAAAACTGTTTGAGTGACATATTAGCTGTCCATCATCCTATTATGTTTCCTTTGAGATCTTTCTAGAGTTCTTCTGTCATCAGCTTTCGGCACCTTCGAGTATTAATGTAACACGAGAACCCAGGGGTCTGTGTCAGGGCTCAGAAACAGTGGCTATATTGTGTTAGAAAGAAATGATTTGCGGGGAGGTTACCAGAAGGTAACTGGAGGAACTCGGAGGAAGTATTTACTCGCTGCGTGTTCTCCTTCCCTCACACAGAAGCCCTGAACATCCAGCAGAAATTGGACGAGACTACAAAGCTCCTGCGCAACTTGCAGGAAGTTCAGAGGGAACGTCTGAGTGCCAAGCAGCCACCAAACATGATCTGCTTGCTGGCCCCGACTGCCAAGGAGCTGGAGCTGGGTAAGAGCCTCATAGTGCATGGGCGTCTTTGTTCTTCCACTAAAGTCAGCTGTACACCTCGAACAACACTTCATTTACCTCTGTAGCCTGCATCCATCACAGGTGTGGTAGACATTGGCCTGATTCAGATCACTGGGACCCCCTTTCCAGAATATTTTTCTTTCAATCAATCAATCTTTATTTATAAAGCACTTTTCATACAGAAATGTAGCACAAAGTGCTTTACATGGTTAAAAGCAGCCCACCCCACCCCACCCCACCTCACCCTCCAACTCACTCCCCACACTCTCATTAACATAAACGATCATGGATGCATACATACACATCCCCCTCAGGGTCTGCGAGGGTTCATATGGTAAAAGCAAATGTGAGAGATAAA